AGGTCCTGCAGAAGGAGTACACCACCAGCGATGGTCTGGATATCGATACCCTGCTTGACTCTGACAAGCACGGTGCTTTGACCTACAACGACTTCCTGATCCTGCCCGGGTACATCGGTAAGGCGAGAATCTGGGCTCATCTCGTCGAACTGGGTTGCTGATGCCTCAGAATAGGCTTTCCTGCTTCAGATGTCACTCTCGACACCGCTGTCACTAAGCGTGTCTCTTTGAAGGTCCCCCTTCTCTCTTCCCCGATGGACACCGTCACTGAGCACAACATGGCCATTCACATGGCTCTCCTCGGTGGTCTGGGTGTTATCCACCACAACTGCTCTCCTCAGGACCAGGCCGAGATGGTCCGCAAGGTCAAGAGATACGAGAACGGTTTCATCTTGGACCCCGTTGTCCTCTCCCCTACCGCCACTGTCCGCGAGGCCAAGGAGCTCAAGGCCAAGTGGGGCTTCGGTGGTTTCCCCGTCACTGGTAAGTGATTACTTGATTCCCTGCGTATCCTTTCCAACATGATGATCAATCACTTTTTCTTTATAACTTTCGTTCCACTGGAGCAGCGAGAGCAGCACTGTAGAGACCAGTTTTATCTGACCTTAATTTCAATACTCATCGTCATTATCACTTTTTGTGCAAGTCGTTGATTCTAACATGATGATTGTCTACCACAGAGAACGGAACCCTCCGCTCCAAGCTCGTCGGCATGGTCACTTCTCGTGACATCCAGTTCCACCGCGATCTGGATGCCCCCGTTACTGCCATCATGTCCACCGACCTCGTCACCGCCCCGGCTGGTACCACTCTTGCCGAGGCCAACGAAGTCCTTCGCTCCTCCAAGAAGGGCAAGCTCCCCATTGTCGATACCAACGGCAACCTTGTCTCTCTCTTGTCTCGCAGTGACTTGATGAAGAACCTTCACTATCCCCTTGCGTCCAAGCTCCCTCAGTCCAAGCAGCTGATCGCTGCCGCCGCTATTGGTACCCGTGAGGAGGACAAGAACAGACTTAAGCTGCTTGTCGAGGCCGGTCTCGACATTGTCATCCTGGACAGCAGCCAGGGTAACAGCATGTACCAGATTGAGATGATCAAGTGGATCAAGCAGAACATCCCTGAGATTGATGTCATTGGTGGTAATGTTGTTACCCGTGAGCAGGCTGCTGCTCTCATCGCCGCCGGTGTCGATGGCCTGAGAATTGGCATGGGCAGCGGCAGTGCTTGCATCACCCAGGAGGTCATGGCTGTTGGCCGTCCTCAGGCTGCTTCCGTCCGCAGCGTTTCCAACTTCGCCGCTCGCTTCGGTGTTCCCTGTATCGCTGACGGTGGTGTCCAGAACGTTGGCCACATCGTCAAGGGCCTGGCTATGGGTGCCTCCACCGTCATGATGGGCGGTCTCTTGGCTGGTACCACCGAGTCCCCTGGTGAGTACTTCGTCAGCAAGGAGGGTCAGCTTGTCAAGGCCTACCGTGGTATGGGCAGTATCGCCGCCATGGAGGACAAGAAGGCTGGTGCTGGTGCCAAGGACAGCAAGGCCAGCAACGCTGGTACTGCCCGTTACTTCTCCGAGAAGGACTCCGTCCTCGTCGCCCAGGGTGTTGCTGGTTCCGTCCTTGACCGTGGATCGGTCACCAAGTTCGTTCCCTACCTCACCGCTGGTGTCCAGCACTCTCTGCAGGACATTGGTGTCAAGAGCCTGAAGGATCTTCACGATGGCGTCAACCAGGGCAAGGTTCGCTTCGAGATGAGAAGTGCTAGCGCTATGGCCGAGGGCAACGTCCACGGTCTGCACAGCTACGACAAGAAGCTCTACTCTTGAGCGGTGACAGCTTAAGTGTTTTGTTTTTGTCTTATATACCTTTTTATGCCTTCTGATTCTCTTGCATCTAAGAACCGTTTACCCTGTTTATATGATTGGTTACATGATGCTACGTGGTTGCTACGAAAAATAAAAAGCTTGGGTACGAGGGACTGGAGTTTGACGAGGAATAGTTCAGATCTTGCTTTATGATAATTCAATACATTTTCAAGAATTGGTTCTCTTCACTAGACTGCGAATTGTTCTCGCCTTCATTGTGGCCGTAAATCCAGAAGGTAAGAAGTATCTGTAGTTCCTTGGACAGCCCTACGAGTGCTGCAATCTATATCTCGTAGGTAGCCTCGGCCCCTACGATAAGCCCGAACGCGGGGTAGACCGCTTTCAAGTGGATGATGGTTCGTGGCTGCCAGGGGGCAGCAGATTAAGTACCTTTCGTTCGGCCCAACCCTCCGCTGGAAAGTCCCTGCAACGTGCCTGCACAAAGTAGTACTAACTGTAGCATAGCCATGGCCTCAATCCCGCTGGTAGTTCCCCGCTGTACTCCCCGGGTAATATACTCGACTTCCCCTCACCGCGTCGCAGTCGCCCGAGGTCCCCGGCTTCCAGCTTCTGGAAAGTATACCCCCCGGCCATTCACATGCTCCCATGACTATACGCCGCAAACCACATGGAGAGCAAGCTCCAATGTCCCACGATCCCAGCAGGCTGCTGCTACCCAAACAATGTCATCTTCAGCACCCAAACAGAGACCCAGCCCTGCTGTTCCGCGGCCCAGTTCTAGGTAAGCACGACGAATCCACAGACGTCTCTATTTTCAATGTATTGTTGTTCCCCCACCGCTAATCCCCGTGCAGCGTCATCCTGGTATCACCCAAAAACGAGATCCTCCTGCTTCACCGTGTCAAAACCTCGAACTCGTTTGCTTCTGCCCATGTATTCCCGGGAGGCAACCTCTCGGCTCAAGATGGCCAATGCCCGCCCGCTGAGGACCTCAAGCGCCACGATGATGGCCCGTGGTACCGCAACGCAGCCATCCGAGAGCTCTTCGAGGAGAGCGGCATTCTCCTCGCCAAGGATAAAGTTTCCGGCAAGATGCTCGCCGTCCCGGAAGAACAACGCGAATCGGGTCGACGCGCGATCCATCAAAACCAGACCACTTTCTTAGAGTGGCTGAAGCAGCAGAGTCTCAATGCGGTGCCGGATACAGGTAAGACACACGCCCATCTTGCACTTGACTACACTCGAAGGGGCAAAAGTTCAACCCAACTCCAGTGGAAGTTGTCTTCGCTAACTTGACCCTCAATAGATGGACTGATCCCGTTTACTCGATGGATTACCCCAACAACCAACTCCCGGCGATATACGACGCAGATGTACCTCTACTTCCTTCCACTTCCTGCGGAGGCTGAGAAGCCGGTCCTCGATGTAATCCCATCCCAGGGACAGCGGGAGGAAATCCAAGTTCCGACGAGCGACGGAGGAGTGGAGGTCACAGAGGCTCGATTTTTGCCTGCCTCGGAGTGGCTGCAGATGGCGCAAAAGGGCGACATTATACTGTTTCCGCCGCAGTTCCTCCTGCTGCATCTGGTGGCTGGCTTCTTGGACAAGGAGCCCTGCGTCGCCGCTTCGCTGCAGGAGCTGCACAGACGGCGGGCGGAACTTACTGAGTTTGTGAGCACCGGTCAGCCGCCGTGGTCGGAGAAGTGTATCTCCCCGAAGATGCTGAGGATGTCCTCTGACGGACGCACGGTGCTGGCGTTGGATCAGCCGGGCCTCGAACTTAGGGGGACGGATAAGCAAGGGGAGACGGAGCGGGTCGTGCTTGTGAGGTTCAAGCGAGGGGAGGCGCGCGAGTTGGAGGTGCGGTGGAAGCAGGACGCCTTCGAAGCCGAAGCGAAGAGTAACTTATGAGGGCATGGATGGGATGTGAATGCCGTGAAGATGGGACTCTCACTATGGACGAAGCAACTAGTCTGCATCCAAGCGGGACCTGATTTAATGGGGCACGCTACATCTTCCTAGATGGGCCTGTAACATGATCTTCCAACACTGCTTTTGAAACATGGCCAGCGCTTTTTCTACTTATGATATCCCGAGCGAGTCGCTGCTTCACACCCTACCATTTTTGAGACATAGGGATCTTTTGTTCACGGCTTCAAGGGCAGGGCAGCTTGGCCTGGTCGTCCTGCTATGCTTTTAATATTGAGAGTTCTACCCGCTCGCTATAATGGGTATGCAAATGGCTTCACATGTCAATCGCAAGGTACAGCAGCACAGCACAATGAGTGCATACTTAAGAGTACTCGTACCTCGCGGCTACCCGCACTAACCCAATCTGGCAAGAGCGGGCCTTACCTAATCAACGCCCAACCTTAGCGGCAAGCCCTCGACAAAGAATCACATGACCCACAACCGGGAAACGCAGAAAGTTGTCCGGGTCACTCATTTCACCCCATCCGCCCACCGTCTCAATTTCCCGCGCACCGCTCCGTTTTTCTCGTCAACCTCAAGTTCCTCACCACCCACCCAACTCGCCAAAATGGAGAACGACAAGGGAGAGATCGTCGATCTGTACGTACCCCTCTTTCCCTCCCTTTTTTTTTTGTGGTTTCCCCAAGGGGATGCGGAGGGGTTTGGACACCATGCATAGCGGAGAACAACCAGACGACAGCAGAGAACATGCGAACGGAGGGGAGGAAGCAGGGAATGAGCGGAGGAAATGATATGCGATATTCGACCTGGTCCGGTGGTTTTCTCCATGCGATGAAAACGACCTAAAAAGATGAATGAGATAAGAGGTGGAATCGAATTTGGACAAAGTGCGCATATCATCTGATATGCGTTCTGAAACGTCTTTATCTGGACCAGGTCGAAGTCGCATATCAAAGTCTCTCTTCTCTGGTCCTGTCGTCTGGGAAAGAAAAAAATTTCTCCGCTATCGCCGAGTGTGCCCCAGTCTCCTGCGCAATCACCTTCAGCATCGTCCGCGTCCCGAGGCGGGCAGTTTGCGAAAAATCCACAATTACCAAAGCACACAACTAACCACATGGTCTCGTGTCTTCCAGCTACGTGCCCCGCAAGTGCAGCGCCACCAACCGCATCATCAAGGCCAACGACCACGCTTCCGTGCAGATCTCCATCGCCAAGGTTGACGAGAACGGCCGCTACACCGGCGAGAACCAGACCTACGCTCTGTGCGGTTTCATCCGCGCCCGTGGTGAGAGCGATGACTCCCTGAACCGCCTCACCCAGCGTGACGGCTACCTCAAGAACGTCTGGACCGCCAGCCGCCAGCGCTAAGCGGACGGTATGTCACTGGGCGGTGTTTCCAATTTTTATGGGTTTTTTGATGTCGGGTATTTGGTGATGGTAAGCCCCTCTTTTCTCTTTCTCGCGGGGACAGACACTGCCGCTTCGGGTTTCCAACAGCCGGTGTTCTCCCATCATCTGAAACCTACATCAGAAACCATGCTAACTTTATCGTGTGACAGGATGAGATGTTATGGTCAACATCATGATATATCTTATATCCAAAAAAGAACTTGAATGAAAGAAAAACTTCAATAAAAATCCACACCCGCCCCTTTATACCCGGCAACACAACCGTCCCTTCTCACTTATCTGCCTGCCTTTTATCTCCTGATCCTCTTCTTAGAGTCAGTCACATGTAGAACTTCTCTCAATATCCCCGCCTCCCTATGTACTTTCTTAAAGTTCTCCCTAAACCGGCATATCAAACCCCTTCCTCCCGCCCTTTCGGACCTGGATCGATTGGTTCCCCCCTCCCACGTGGGGAATCCAAACATCCAGCCCCGACTCCCCATGCGCGAGGAAAAGGTTGAAGACCTAGTAGAGTAGAATCTACAGTCTCCCCCAACATTGCCGGAGATTACTACATACCTCCGCCTGCTGAAGAGCCACTGTCGCAGAGTTCGTGCACTGGGGCACAGATACGGGTGGAACATTTCTCGTTCCTATTGTTCTTCTAGTCTTGGTACTTAGTCTTAGTACTTGTCTGAGCATGCATCTTCATTCAAATCCAGCACACTCCTGCAAAGGCAGGCATTGATCCTCTGATTCCCGAGTGGGTGGGTGAGTGTTCGACTCATTCGTTGTCTTGAATTTGTGGTAGTCTTTTATAACATCATGTCACGAAATAAAAAAGACAGCACCATTACTTTCGAACGTCTTTGCATTTCAACATGAGATAAAAGAAAAGGTTTAAGTTATGATGCTGACCCCCGTTTTTTTAAAGATTTCCTATCTAAACCCCGAGACATGAGATCGGTATCTATATTTGCTGGCTTGCACTCTTTTTCGCTTTTTTAGTCCTTCTCCAATCTGACGGCCGGGTTGCTCTCGATGAAGTTCAGGTCGACCTTGTGACCTAGCAATTCACGGATGTTGCTGACGCCGTATCTGTAGAGCAGAAAAGATAGGGGTTAGAGTTGGTGTTGCCTCAAAGGGGCAGGGCAGACTTACTTGATCATCGTGGGGCGCTCCAGACTCAGACCCCATCCGTACACCCGCATGTCCTTGGGGATGCCCATGGGCTCCAGCATCTCGGGCCGGAACATGCCACTGTTACCGATCTCGACCCACTTGCCCAGGCCGTTGTGGTAGCCGAAGATCTCCATGCTGGGCTCGGTGTAGGGGTTGTAGGCGGGCTTGAAGCGCAGCTGGTGGATGCCCATCTTGGCGAAGAAGACCTCCATGAAGCCGATGAGGCCGCCCAGCGTGAGGCCGTAGTCGGCGATGACACCCTCGATCTGGTGGAACTCGGCCAGGTGGGTGGCGTCGACGGCCTCGTTGCGGAAGACGCGGTCGATGCTGAAGTAGCGCGCGGGCCGCGGGTTGGCCGCCAGCTTGTGCAGCACGTAGGTCGAGACCGAGGTTGTGTGCGTGCGCAGCACCAGGCGCAGCGCCTCGTCGGCGTCCCAGGGGTAGCGGTAGCCGATCGAGCCGTATTTGCCCGTCTCGTGGACCGCGCGCACGTCGTCCCAGTATTGCTTGTAGTCGAGGGGCTTTGTAGGAGATGAAGAAGAGGAGGAGGATGTGGTGGGCTGGAGGGTCTTGATCTGGTGCGGGTCGTTGGCCGGGTCCTCGCGCGGGGGGTCGGCCTTGACGGGGTCGGCGATGTAGAAGGTGTCTTGGAGGTCGCGGGCGGGGTGTTGCTGGGGCACGAAGAGGGCGTCGAAGTTCCAGAAGCCCGTCTCGACGAAGCGGTTGGTCGGCATCTCCTCGAAGCCCATCTCGAAGAAGATGTTGCGGAACTCCTGGCGCACCTTGTTCAGCGGGTGGAAGGTGCCCGCCGGGGTGGGCGCGCCCTTGGCCTTGAAGTTGTACGGCTTCAGCTGCGCCGTCTTCCACGAGCCGTTCATCAGCATCTCCGCCGTCAGGTCGGTCTCCTCCTTGACGAACTCGCGGGCGTACTTGGGGCCCTTGGCAATCTGGAAGGTGATCACCTTCTGCACCGTCGCCAGCTTGCGCCGCTTCAGGTCCGTCAGGGCCTTCGCATCGGGCACCGCCTGCGTCTTCTGCACCGTCAGCAGCAGCTCGCGGGTCTCGTCGACGATCGTCTCGGTCGCCGCCCGCAGCACGTCCTTGTCCTTCTTGATCCACCCCTTCTTGAACGCATTGCCCTGGCCGACCTTGGCGGTGTCCTTGCCGACCACGCCCGGAAGGTCGCCAATCTTCAATCCATCCAGAGCCGCCAGCACGGCTTGGAAAACCTTGGCCTCGTGACTGCCATTAGTGGCGATCTCCTCACCCTCCGGCGTCAGGACGGCGATTTCCTTCTCGATGGTGTCATACTCGACCATCTGTCGGGAGGCTAGACGGTCGAGCGCAGCCTTGATATTTAGTGAGGGGGTCGAGGGGAAGGCTTCGCTGGAGAGGATGGAGGCGTCGGACGCAGACAGAGCGTCCAGAATGGGTTTCGTCATATCGGTCGCCATGACTGCAAGCCGTGGAGTCCCCAAGAAGGCGGAGTCCGAGGAATGTGGTGGGAAAAGGAGGAGGGGTTGAGTAGAGGAGGAGGACGGGTCTTGGAGGCACCGATCAGACACTGCCCACTTCACAATTATGACTCTTTTCGGGTACGCTCTTCAATTACGGCGGGCGATTGTGACCACCGCCGTCGTCCCGTGACCTGCCACCGGTCTAAACCCCGCCATTGCGGATTTGTTCTTCAATTGTTCTAAAGGGCGGATGCCAATTTGCCAAACGGACTACTTACTCTCTTTACTCGGATGAAGTACGGAGTACAGATGTATTCATCTGTGCAGGTCCACGGAGGTCCACGGACTAGACAAAACAAGTCCCATGATCTCGCCCAGGCCGTCAAGAGACCGACCGGCTCGAAATTAAATGCATTGTATCAGCATATGCCTGTGCAACCATGTATATTGACTATCGGTGACAGGTATGAGCAGATTGATCGGAATCATCCATGGTCGATTTGCGCATATACCCTTTCAACTGCAAGGGGCTTGGGCCCCAGGGTCACCCAAAACAAGAGCGAGGTCATGGACAGGAATGAAGGGTAACGTTATTCTTCGCTATTCTTCTGTTGAGGCTCTCTCCGTGTATTTGGGTCACGATCAAAACCATCCGTGCAAATTAGGTTCAATGGAGAGGCCCTTCAACCTTCGAGGGAGGATTCTGTTATCTACCCCGTGACAGACCCGGGCCAAGCCGTCAAAATCCTCTGTCAACGTTGTACGACATTAAATGCCAGGCCTGGAGTGTATAAAATGGTGGGCGGAAGATCCGAATGGACGGACGAGATATATTCTCGACCGAACCAAGGCAGTGATGACCACCAGGTGCAGTGATCCTTGGCCTGGGGAACCTCCCAAGATTGATTGGTGATGTGGGAACGGGGGTTAGGGGGATGAGATCCAATGATGCAGAAGCAGTTTCCACAGTCCTACACCATCCTTGGCGATGTGAAGGATTATTCCTTGCTTGTCCCGTGGTGGTGGTGGTGGTGGCTGGCAGCTGGCTGGATATACCAGACTGCATAGTACCCGTAGTAGACTACCTAAGAAGCGCAAGCATGGTTTCAACTTTCAACACTGGGCAACGGTAGACGAGGCCCAACACAGTTTAGCACGTCGCTAGTTCTCCAGGATGTAGACACCCCAGTAATTTATTCTTGACAGGCAGGGTTAGCGTCCACCTCAAAAGCAAGATTTAGGGGGCGGCAGCAGCAACTTTTGCTACTCTCGGCTTCCTTGGTGATAGCTTCCTTAGGAGTTTGACCAGCCAGGCCGGCTTCCAGCCTTCATCACTTACTACTGCTATTACTGCTAATCAATGGCTAGTATGTAGTCCTTCTTCACTCCCGCCTATTCCGTATCTATCTATCGATATGTCTACTGCTCGAGCAGAGTTACAGAGGTACAAAGAATAGTCAGTTACAGTAAGTTATCAATTGGTGCCTCTATTATCTGGCATTCATCGATCCTCGCATGATAATCCCGGACAGGTTTAGTTGGATGGGGCGACGAAAAGCTCTTCTCAGTATTGATCTTCATGATTGGCTTATCGGGGGTAATCGATGGGTCTTGCACGCGACCGTTGGGTCTGGAACTGGATCTCCCCGGGGGGGGAGGGATCGTGATAGATGAATGCTATCTGCTGTGTATATCTTCCAGGAAGCTGCTGATGAATCTTAAAGCAAGCACTCGGCTGGCTTCTTATTGTGCAAGCTCTCTACCAGTGTTCATACTTTATGTCTAAGTTAACAATGACGATCATGTCGCTGCCCCCATAGAAAAGACTTCGAGAAGAGGGTTAGGAGGATCCCATTCCCATGGTTCTTCCTCCAGCTGCTACTCCACCAGCCATCACCACCCAGCCGTGGCTGATGCCTATAGACAAAGACTTGGGTCATCGCCTAACACGGCTGGCAACCTAATTTGCACCGGCCGATGAACTGAACCTTGGGCGTTGAATTACTGTACTAAGATCACTATCGATTCCAGGACTGAACTTAATCATGTTAAGATTCAACCACCCCCCGGGCGAACGGGCGATGTCTCGGGCATGGACCTGTGCGCCTGGGCTGACGGTGCACAATAACGGGCGGGAAGATATGTATCAGAAACGAGAGATGAGAGAGCTAATACACCCACCTTCTCTTGTCGCGAGATGATACAACCAAGCAGGAAAATTTGAAGTATTAAGTCATAGATCAGTTTCTAGACCATCCACACCCAAGTTGTGCGGTGGCTAAGGCGCCCGAAACATCATCTCATGGGACAGAGGTGTCCTGTTCCTGCGGTGGTTTGCCTGTCCAGACCGGTCTGCCCTGCATCATTCCTGATATCCTCGACTCCGTTACCCTCTCTCATTTTACCTCACTGTCCATTCTCCTCCCGTCCTGCAGTTTTTTTTTTTTGTTCTGTTTCCCTCCGGTCACCAACCAGTCAGGTTGTTGTTGTTCGATTGTGATAGGTAGATACAGGCCAGGCCCGTCCTTCTTACGTCTCACCTGCCTTTGGAGCCACGGCAATACGAATGCCACTACGTAGTCGACTAGACGAATACCTGTTCTTTGCCCCCTCCCTCTGACACTTTTCT